CACGGTTATCGGAGTACCCCCTCCGTCAGTCGGCAGTCCAGGGCACTGTGTGTCTGAGTGGATCGCAACGCGATTTTGCGAATCCCACTCCACCACAGCAGCATGTGAGGCTCGCTTAGAAGGCCAAGACCTGCGTAACGCGCTAATGAGATCTCCCCGAGCGTAGGAACGCAGTGTCGTCTAGGCACCGACAATCAAGAGGCGTTCGTGATGGCTATGAACCCACCTACAGTCGCAGGACGCGGCATATCGAGTTGATGTGGTATTACGTCAGAGACCAAGAGTCCAGGAAGGCAGTGGAACTCTGGAAGGTTAAGACGAAGGACAACTCGTCCGACGTAATAACGAAGCCCTTCATCAACGATCGTTTCGAGATGCTATCGAAATGATTGGCCTGACCACAAAGTATATTCCGAAGAAGTTGGCTTCGGAGGAGGGTGTGTTGGAGTTCGCATCCAAGTAGCAGCAGTATACCATGGCCAAGGCCAAGTTTACAATAGTCAAGTATAAGGAAAAAGTGATGGTAGCAAAACACTTTCAGTGCGGATAGTGCGCACACAGTGAAGTTTGCCTCGGCAAGGCTTCAGTCCACGATTTACCTTCCTATCAACAAGTTAACCCTTCTAATACGATCGTTACGGATTTTCCTGAAATCGTTTATACGATTGATAATATTCAGCGTTCTCCGTAACAGACTTCGAATAGCCTCAAATCCGCATATTGAAATTTGTATTGGATAAATTTTACCAGGTCAATTGTAGCAGCTTTGCGCGTTGAGACATGAGATTTTCAGGATGCGGCTAGGATTGCCGGTATAAGAAGTGAGGGAGCTGGCAGCGGTTCATTTTGAGATCTGCGCTGCGAGAGGGAGACCATCATTTCACGATGAGAGGCTACGCAATTGCCGCTGAGAAATCTCTTGGTCAAGTGTGGGGGGAGTTGACGAAGAAAGGCTGGTCGTTCAGGAAGTCGCTTGGCCTTAGTGACGATCGTAGGTACCTACCACCGGACAGCCTGTCTCAAGTGGACCGAGGGCGTGGACTACATCCTTGGTAAGTCTGCTGTGTGCTGATACATGCGTACGGTTTCTAATCTAGTTTGTGCTTGCAGGAGACACGAGCTTGATGAATTACTGCCGCCGCCAGGGATGGCTGGAATTCGGCCCACTTCCCCCTGCTGCGCAAGCTGAACTGACGGAGCCAGCGACGGCTGCTTCGAAGCCCGCGCCGAAGCCAAGAGCTGCAGCAAAATCTACTCAGGTCCCACTAGAGTCAGCTGCAGCAGCGGTTCCCAGGCCGCCTTGCGCTGAAGCCAAGCCTTCATCTCCTGTCACCACTGTCGCCACGACCTCTGTCTCCAAGAAGCCGGCCACCAAGCCGGCCGCTAAGAAGCCATCCGCCAAGAGGTGTGCATCAAAAAGACCTGCAACTGCAAGTAGTGGCAGCGAGCCAGCCCGCCGAAAGCGAGCCGCTGTTGGCAAAACCAAACCCACGACAGCGCAGGATTCGGCCGCAGGTGAGATCAATCGACACCAGTTTGCTGTCCAAATACTAATATGCAGCTGTTACGGATATATCCGCAGCTGCAGTACCGGATAGGACCGGCGCTGTTCCGGATCTTACGGATATCGCTAGGACACGAGTCCGGATACGGCTGAAGAACGTGTCCGGAGGTGACGACAACTAGTGCTGAGGATGCCACCGGTGGCGGTACAACTGCTGGACGATCGCTGCTTGATGCGTTCGATTCGGACGACTTCTTGGATGCTCTTCGTGAAGATCGTTTGTTTGGCCCTCTGGAATCGGACGATTTGAATGTGGGCGAGGCGGACTGGTTGCTTGGTCTGGACTCTGATCTTGAAGGGAATGAAGAGTGAATTCTTCATGATAAAAACAACAACGCCGATCTACAGTAGTCAGACCCCGAAAGTGTAGAAGAAGACACGGAGGTTTCGGTGGAAGAAGTGGACGAAGAGCCGGTCACGTTCGAGCTCGGTGCTGGTGATATGGACCGCCTCCAACAGGAGGAATGGAATTACTTTGATGAGCGGCACAGTGGGCAACTTTAAGTGGATGCTGCTCCGCTTTACGATGGACCAAGCGGCCCGACTAAAGCTGTTTTGGCTTATGCCGAAAACCCGTTGGCAATCTTCTACTTCTTCCTCCCCAAAGACCTGTGGCGTCGTATTGCTGCTGAAACGAACAAGTATCGCCTCGATAGTGTTGACGAAGTCGCTCAAGGCATGCGCCAACGTGCTCTTGACAAGCGGTTGACGACCCCGTCCACGACGGTTCTGTCTGTAGAGGAGTATCGGGTCAAGTTGCGATGCAAGAACAGTATTCAGCCGCACGAGATAATCCGGTACATTTTCTAGCGACGGGGTGTTCCACGCAGCTAGCCGACGTGAACCGGGTGGTGCAGTCTCGAGGGTGCCGTGCCCTCAACTTGTGAAGGACTATCATGAGGCCATGGGCGGAGTTGATGTCCATGACCAGCTCCGCCTACAGCGCTATTCAATTCAGCGCTCAATCCGGATGCGCAAGTATTACAAGACGCTGTTCAGCAGTCTCGTTGACATAGCCATGGTCAACGCGTTCATTGTCCACAAGTTGGCACTGCGCAAGCTACAAAAACCTGTGCCGACGCACGCAGTCTTCATGCGCCGCCTTCACGCCGATCCTCTCGTGCAAACAAGCGAAAATTTTGCGGGCAACAACGACCTGGAAGAGCTTGTCACCCAACCGCTTCCGCGCGCGCCGCACACCCTTCAGAAGCTCGAAGAAAAAAACAAGGCAAAGGCGAAGAATCGGCAGTGGCTCTGCAAGGTGTGCTCGGCGTTCGCAGGTCTTGGGGTGCGCAGTTTTGAGACCAGCTACTTCTATGCGACCTGCACACGCTCAAAGAGGGGCAGAGTGTCGCTGTGCAATAAGGCACGACGTCTGGACCACGGTAGCAGTCTCACCTGCGATCAGATCTAGCATCAAACGTGGCGGAATGGGACCGCGATTCCTCCCGAGTACCAGGACAAGATCCGATTCATCGAGAAGCGTAGGCCTGAAGTGTGTGATACCGATAGTGAGTCCTAAAAGCGCAAATAATGAATGATGACCATTTCGCTTCATCATGTACACCTCCACCGACTGCTCATCGTAACGGTTTTGCCAGGAGATCGCAATTGGCAGAGATTTGGCCATTTTTTACAGCACATCTCCTCCCATCAGCCAATCCGAAGTCTCACTGAGACCACGTGTCACGCGTAAGGGCTTGATACATGATATATAGTACTGGTTTTCCGGCATATGTTAATTCATATGTTAGGAGTTACGGTTTTTTCCGGAACAGTGGCCGTATTAGAAGTGTTAAGGGGTTTTGCGTGTTACGCTACAGCTTTGTGCACATTCCGTCAGAATCGATAACCTCAGAGTTTTAGTTGATATGTTGTCGGTTGCTCAATGCTTGTTAAAGGCTTGCTTTAGAAGCAATGTAATCATGCGGCCATTGGGGTTGTTGCTCTTTCATGTATTGAATCATGAGACCTGTGCACAGATACTAGTAAGGGCAGCATATATGTTAATGTATACAAGTAAGTTAGTTACCATGATTATTACACCTCCTCCTCGCATCGTACGTCTTTCATGAACGTTATCAGATCATGGTCAAACGTGATAATGCTTTTAACTCCCTGGCCTTTCAGAGTCTTGCTGGTATGGTTACCGCTGAAGGTGTCGATGTTCACTTTGTTGTCTATTCAGCCGCGCAGATCGCGACGAGGGATATCTAGTTCCTTTGCCGCAGGTCGGACACCTAGTTCTTTGGCTTTCGAGATAGCACGGCGCTTCTTGGATTTTGGATAGGAGCGCTGGGGCGCCATATATTGAGAGTGACAAGTGATAAACGCTGGTGGTGAATTCAAGGCATGGATGGCCAGTAAAAAAAACGCCGATTGGTTAAAATACCAGATGGCACTCTGTCCATGCATTTGAATAAACACATACTATTAGATAAAATATTTGACTTCAGTTTCAAACTTCAAACACTGGTGGGCGGGTTTTTATAGTGTGGCGGATTTACCCGTCGTTGTCTGTAATACCCTCATATTTGTAGGCTAGAACCTCATGTGTTTGCAAATCCTATAAGGTCCACAAATGCGAAAACGGGGTGCAGTACTGTAAAGTGCTGTAAATACACCGTTAGAAAAAAGCAACTGTTTAGTGACTACAGTTCTGTAAACATGTTATTAGAAAAAATCCAAATGTTTAGTGTCTACAGTGCTGTAAACACGCAGTAACAGTAGAAAAAGGCACTACATGCTCGACTGTGATGTATCCACACACAGTATTCACTCCCCCCATCTTGTTGCACAATCTTGTCGTCGGTCGTAGTAGCACTACTACAATAGTACGGCCCGTACTGCATCATGCATGTTATGGGATCACTGATAATACCTACATATATCGATTGTCTAATACGTCCTATTCGTATCGTACACAATGCGCTTTGCGTGCTTCCTGGTCCTGCTTGCGACTACCTTCACCGCAAGTGACAAGAACTTCGCCAACTCCGTCGAAGCTGCTTTAGGCGACGTCGCTCGTGTGTCCGACATGAAGCGCATCGATCCGGACAGCAAAGGTCCCCGTCTCCGAGGAAGGAAGAAACCGGAAAGTGAAGAGCGCATGACGGCCGTACCTCCTTACGCTGCGATGACGAACGTGATGCATTCGACTTCGACTACTTCCACAACTTCGAAACAATCACCTCGGATGCTACACTCGATGGAGGAATATAAGGCGCAGCCCAAGCGGGCGAAGGCTCTTGCTGCTCTGCTCACCATTGGGATGCTCTCTGGTGCCTTTATCGGCGGCTTCAAGCTAACGGAATGGATCCGGAACGCACTTGGGGTTGGATCGGGTCGATCGGACTGAACCAACCCCGAGGTATGTTCTTAAACGTACCACTCCACCTCACCAAGGACGTTTCCATTCAGCTTGTTGTACGACGCGAAGTAGCAACAGAGATACCTTGCTCTACTATTGCAGGAAGCGATATTTTCCACCAAGGAAGTTTCTTTTCTAACCACGTTAACTACACTAAAAGAAAGCGATGGTAAACCCTTCATTGTACATATCCAGGATAGCAAGAAAATAATTAAAGATGTTCCCCGCAACTGCATGTTATCTGCCCTAAGGCTAATTTGCAATTCGCTCCAGACAAATCGGCACAATCTCATTTATCGAACTATTCTTCATGGCGCCGATATAGTCGTAAAGAGATACAGGTACGTTGCACTGGCAAGTCATGCTACTAGTCGACAAGACCAGTGTGTCCGGCTAGTTGATCTCGTAGCTAATAGTCTCGGAGCCTCTGTATTCAACCAGATTTTGATTTTTGAAGCACCAAGGGGTGTAGATCAGCGGCAGAAACCGTTGGGTGATACAGTGTGGAATATCCAAATCACTAATTTGGAGACCCCCAGTATCGGCACACGATGAAACTCCTTGTAGTATACGTTGTCCGTCGTCATTGGACTAAAGCACAGACATTCGTACGGTAGCGAATGTGTCGGGGGGCTCACACGATTGATGGGGTTGCTGTTTTAATATTTTTGAGTGAAAAAACTTGGTTTCAGGGTGTAAAATCAACCAGCACTACAACAACATCCACCATAATCAACGAGCTGTCCACCTACGGCCACGTGACAATGAGACCAAATCCAGTGGTCACTTCCACTTCACTGGCTCCGAATATTTCACAACCGAGACAGGAATTAGATCCACTTTTAAGTGGAATACATCACCAAGAGTAACGGAAACAAGTCGGATACTCTTGGGCGGATGTACGGTGTCGGATTTTCTGGTGTAAAACTGGCCAAAATGTTCTAGAATGTCCTAAAAATCGATTTTTCACATGGTCACATCATTTTGCAGAATATGTATCTTCATCGCCCAACTGGACTAGATATTATTTAAAAGACTAAACAAACTATCTGATTAAAACTGATGTTATAAAAATCTTCAACTCCAGTCTCTAAGACAGACTGGTCCCATTAGACAAGGCTCTTGGTCGCTCATCAAAGAGACGTGAACAGGGCCTGTTTCAACGACAGCGCATTGAACGAGGTCACCTGTTCCAACGTGGGCACGCACGATCACTGGTGTAAAGGACGATCTTTTTTTTAAAAGGGGGG